ATATAGGCCAGAACAGTGCACACAGAAAACGGTTTCATGGTTTTACGCCCCCCAACTTCTCTTATGGATGAGATTTTGATGTGTAAGTCTGTAACGAAATGCTCCATGAGCAGAGTTTATTCTCTGCTCAGCTCATTTTCTGACTCCAATTTAGATTCTTTGAAGGGCAAGTGGGAGATGGACTTGGATGAATCCATTTCAGACACAGTTTGGCAAAAAATATTCAAAATATATATTTGTCCTCAATATGTGTGAAACATGTTATAGTTCAATTCTAGGTAGTACATCGCCTACACTGGTCTAAGGACAAATTGTGCAAATTCAAAAAGGACTTGGACCCGTCGTGTGATCGCTGCGGACAATCTCCTGCCACACTTCTGCACACATTCTGGTCCTGTCTCAAACTACATGGATATTGGCAAGGCATCTTTGACACCTTTTCAGGACTATTTAGACAAACTGTTCATCCATCACCACTCATTTCCCTTTTTGGGGTGGCTCCAGCAGAGGCTTCCCTTAGTGAACATCAGATTATGGTGTTAGCTTTCTGCTCTCTACTGGCTAGAAGACTTATTCTTCTTCATTGGAAGGATCCACATCCTCCAGTATATGGTCATTGGTTAAGAGAAGTTATGTCTTACATTCATTTAGAGAAGATTAGATATACTGTTAGGGGATCTGTAAACAAATTCTTTGATATCTGGCAGCCATTTATATCGTACGTAGAAAAAAAAATYCAGCAGATAATTTTGTGTAAAGGTCAAATATTGTTTCATGTACACAAACCTGTTCATTGTATTACTGATTTATGAATACAAGATGGTTTTATGTTGTTGCAGTAGATCCGGTATTGGAGGGGAGGGATGGGAGGGATTTTGGGTGTGTGTGTTTTGTGTTCTTGTTAGTTTGTTTTTTTTTTCTGTAGTTTGTGTTAAAAATAATAAAAAGACTTTGATAAAAAACATACAGACTAAGAGTGGACTCACCTGGGTAAAATCTATGATACAGAATCCGACTGATAGCCTTGTCCTGCTCTAAACTTTTCAGGCAATCTATTAGTTCCTTCTTGTAACTACTTCCTGGATCTCTCTTCAGCGGCTCGTTTGTGGTCGGCTCTCCAACTCATTATTGTGGATGATGGGATTTTCTATGGTGCTGAGCTGTTTACTTCTTGCCATGGCTCTTGTTGTTCCTGGATATACTTGGTATGTAGTTGTGCTCCTTTCTTCAGGATCTTCCTGTAACATTTTACATAGACATCACATAATTATTTTTGAAGTAATAGGAAAATGTAGGGTTGGGTAATAAATCAATTTAATCAATTAATTCGAATTTGCCATTTATAAAGATTTAATTTTGGGAAAATCTGAATTTATTTTTTCAAACCAGTGCACTCTTTGGGGCTTCTATAGTTCAGAGGTCACCCCACCTGTCTCTAAAGATGCTTGGCACATGACATGACAATATGGCAGCTAGAAGAGAGGATTTACTTCCCAAAAAAGGTAGCCTGGCCTTTGTCTTCCTACGCAGTTCTGCTCAATTCCAGTTTCCCTTCTCTGCTTCATCTGGGATTTCTCCCATAGACAAGGATTTCTTCAAGAGAATTTTGTTTGAGCCAATCAGAGAACAGAATCATCCAATCATTTTAAACTTCAGCAGAGGCCACGYCTCCAGCAAGATTCGCTTCTCTATAGCAAAGAATCCCGACCCTCGTATGAAGCAAAGTGAAGGACGAGGGGCTGTTTTTACGAGGCTACAAAATAAGCACTGTTTCTTCAATTAGCTGGAACTGGTTAGGTTTTGACTTGAAGCAACAAACACCTCACTGCAAAATCTGTTTGAAGGCTCTTGTTACAAAAAGCAGGAATAAACACATTTGTTTCAAGATCTGAAACAGAAGCATTCCRTTAAGTAGAAAACAAAATCAATTAAAATCTAAAATCAAATTTGGGACGAAAAGAATCAGAAAAAAATTTTTCAGACCATATCGCCCAGCCCTAGGTAAATGTAATATTAAATCAGTAGAAAAAAGATGTTCATAACAGAATATGGTAACATTTGTTTCTAAACAATGTGCAAATGGTCTACAATGCTTTAATAACCAAATGATGAAGTCAAGGTTGTTGTAAAACAAAAAATGTTGCCTGATATATTTCAAATGCTTCTGATACAGAAAGCAAATTAAAATATTGTGTTTACTGAAAATACTACAATGACATTGTAAACATTTTGCACATTAAAACAATTAAATTACTTACAAGAAGAGTTTGTGATGGTCTGACATACAAAGCCTTTGATCTGAAGACCTTTTGGATCAGCTGGCCATTCAGTTGTTGACCATCTTGTAGTTTTGGAGCGATCAGTTTATTTCCACAGCCCATAACAATTTGGAGGCTATAAAAGACGGTTTTGATGTTTGTTTGTTTTTTAATTGCCATTTTCAGAGTTTAGGATAGTTACTTGAAATACAGTTTGAATAAAGTATTACAAATGCATAATTACCTGACATTCTGAGGAATTGTCGAGCCAAAGCCGTTTCTGATTTGCTGAATCACAGTATGATAGTCCCAAGACTTATGAAACTCAAAAGCACTCAGTATATGTCCATTTTCATGTAAGTATTGCTTGAAAGGTGGCTTGCAAATCACTTTCCATGTGGAATCAGGAAGAAGTATTWCTTCTTTATTAAAGCTTTCATGGTATTGGATCCCTTTGAGTCTTAAAAAAGGAACATATATTATGTAGTTAAAAGAGATCAACTCTCAATATTACCAGGATAAAAACAAAAACATGAATTATTTATTGTATGTTTATGTAAAGTGATGTCAGTTATCCAGACAGAGTTCTCTACATTCTCTATTAAAGAAACTACAATAAAAATACACCATGAATGCTGATAATCTTTAGAGAAAACCATGTTACCTTCTTCTCTTGCTGGTAGACCAAGGTCCAAAACACTGCTGGGCTTGGAAACATGGAATTGCAGGACCAGCCAACCTTGGTTCTGTGGTAGAAAAACAACCTTCAGCACTGAGGAACACTGGAACAATGCTTGTTGTCTGTGCGAAACAACACTAAAGCTTTAAAGTAAAGCAGTAAATTTTATTCTAATTAATTAATTTACTTTTTTTTAAATAAAGCTAGGGAAACACTCATCAGGGCCTTGTTTGAAAAATAACAATTGCCAAACACGTCAACGCTTATTTTGTTTTGCATTTTAGGATTAAAGCAAGAGCAGACTTTATATTGATGAACCGTTAGGAATTATTTGACCAAAGCAGTGTCGAGCCAAAGTAGCTATCCCCGAAATATTATGTTTCCCCACCAGAGGGGGGTGCCCAACTGTCGGATCTGCTTAATAAAATGATGATTTCTGTAAAAAAAAAAAATGCTGAAATGATTGTTATTCTTTGAGCATGAAGGTTTTTTCATTTTTTTCCCTATCTGTCTTTGGGAAAAAATCAGTGCATTTACTATTATTTCAGAGGGGGGATACAGATTACAACAGGCATCTGATATAATCTGTCTACCCCCCCAGAACTACAGCAAGGAGTGAAGGATTCACTTGATACTTTCAGGTGTTATAAGGTGTAATGGGAAGTATTGTTGAGCACAATCCCTGACATGCTAACATTAACCTTTCCTATTTCAGAGGGGGATACAGATTATAACAGGTGTTCGGTTTTTTAACCTGGGAACTC